TATCACCAAATACCTCAATGTGCTAACTAGATCAATAAAAATAAAATTAAGATAGCAGTTCGTCACATGGGTCACGCATAAACCGCAACCACTCTGGTTATAACAAGTGGACAGCAGAATTTTTGGACAGGGACCTGGGTCTCGGGACTCGGGACTCTACGGGAGACCGGGACTTTGGGCCATTGACATTTTGTTATGGGACTTGCGACGATACAGAACAAATCAATTAAGTGAATGGTAGAAGGGGAATGTTTTATTTTTGGGCAGCATTTAAGGTTCGCGTGTCAGACGAGGCTTCGACAACTTCCAGGGGGAGACACACAAGTGTCAGAGGTAAATCGATTCATCAGTTTGCCCAACCAACCCAATCAAACTTTTCAAAAACTGTCCAAAGACGTCGGCGAAGGCGAATAATTAGCACAAACGAATTTGCGACACATGCTGAGGAAAGTCTTCACGCGCCGTTTAATTAACAGCTCAACCAGAGCAATAAAATAAACAAATAATTTAAATTGAATTTTGAACAGACAGACAGGGTATTGAAATAATTATTCAATGAATTAAAAAGATCAGGGATAGGATTAGTCGAAGAAATATCTAAATGTTTTCAAAGGAACTACCTCTAATATCTCAAAAGAGATACCTTAACTAAGATTCAAGATAAAGTCTTTAATTCCCAAGTTGTTAAATCTTGAAAGTTTAACTAGTTAACAATACAAACAATTAATTTTCCTTTAAAATTTATTTATATTTTTAATTATCGACAGTTGTACTCGGTAGTGAGTGCTGCCTTTCCCAGAGCACTGCCTTTGCTTGGGAATTTTGTGACGCGACACTCGTCATACAACGAACTGAAATTATAGAGATAATATAGATGACATTGAAGCCGTAGATTGTATACTCTTTCCCTGTTTATTTCTATATATTTTAAAGAAGAAATAAAAAGCTTGAGAGTTGAGAGTTATTTAAAATAAGGACTAATTGTCTGTAGAAGCGGAAAAACAGATACTGTCTATGCCTTACGGAAATATTAAGATAACTCTAAAGATATAGATCGAGAGATCTTAAAATAATAGGTTTTTCGAGCTATTTAAAGGTGATTGCTTATAGCTCTAATATAGACATTAAGCTATAGTGATATCCCTGTAATCAAACTAACGAATAAATCCTTTAAAGTCAAAATATATGATAAGAATATCATAAAGCTAAGTCAAGTCACAATTCTAGTAAGAATCGCAGACCCTTAAAAGCTAACGAACACTGCTCTTTCCAGCTTTCTGCACTAAATAACGATATCTTCGGCAAGTGTATAAATATTTACCAACACTGTATGTACATATATATGAAGAAGAAACCAAATTTGTTTGGCACTACGCCAATTGAGATGCATAAAGACCCCATATCCGCTCCTCCCCCCAGTGGTCAAGCCCCCCCAACCCTGGTAGCTGCTTTGCATACTTGAAATTTTTATTTGCAGCAAAAAAAAAAAAAGTTTGTTTTTGGCCCCAGAAGAAAAGGGGTGGTGGGCTGGCAGTGGGGTGGAAAGAAATTTGACTATGAAGCGCGTGATTATTACTCATTTAGCGGCGTTGGCGTTGACGTTGACGTTGGCGCTGGCGTCGACGCTGCAGTCATTGGCAGCGACTTCTTTGCGTCACTGGAGTTTATGGGAAAAGCGGGGGCGGTATTGGCAATACACTGACAAAAAATACAGAAGGCTATAAAATATTTATTATTAAAAAAATATATGACTTTTTTTTAAGAAAAGATGAACATGTGGCATGATTAGTAATATTTATCTATAGATACTATATAGTCATTGGATCGTTGTGATTTAATAGGTTAATGGATTCTATTTTTATTTGTTTTTCTTCACCTGGAAAATACGTTTCGTCGCTCTATGAATTGTGATTGATATTGCAAGCCTATTTATCGCGTTCAATTATCTTTATATGCCTTAAACGATATACGATATTCGATAATACGAATTTTAAATACCCTTCTTTGATAATTAAAATGTTATATTTTCTAATTTCTTTCATATTCATAAAGCTAGACGATTTCTATATCTTTCAGATCGGCCAAACGCTTTATGAAACGGTCGCTCAAATGTATTAGCTTCATATTCATTAAGGATTTCGACTATAGATACCTGGTACTTGTACTAAAGTATGGTAAAGCACTGTTAATTACATATTACAACCTCTGTTACCAACTTCTATGGCATTTACTTTGGCACTGTCTTGAATTAATATTGATATAACCAATTAAAAATATTAATAGAGATTTATTGGAAATTTTTGTACTAAACTAATACCAGTAAGCCTACTAAGCTAGTTGTTTGTTTAACAAACTCTTCACTTATCTTTGCGAATCTATTCGTTGTTTGTTTTTCGCATTAACGTGTCTAAATAATTAACGACTCGAAATCGGGCGACAAGCCCATCCAATGTTCGAATTGCACATTAGCACAAAGAGGCTACGTGCAACGTGGGGCGTAGGTTCTACGATATATAACGCAAGCTACAGGGATCTTTGGGAAATACAAGTCTATTCTCACTAGAAAAATACTAATATTAATAAGTATTTAAAAAGCTAACAAAAAGCTAATTAAACAATAAGCTTAGTTTTCTGTAAGAGTATTACCCCTGTATCGGGTCTTCTGAATGGGGCATCCTATGGCAGACATAAAATATATGTAGCATTTTATGCCTGGGGCGTCAAATCAGTGTAAATAAAACTGCACTAGAACTGCCATCAACTGCCACGCCCTGTACGCCCTCCGCATTAATGAAGGAGCTCTTATGGGTGGTAGGGTGGCTCGTGTTCCGTCTCAATTGACGATACGTCTGGGAGGGATGTCATCTGACAATATTGGCGGCTGGTTTGGTTGTCAAGTGCTCTTCGGTCGGAGGTCTGTGAAAGTGAAAACGAATCAAAACGAAGAGTATCCACAAATTATAAGTGGTTGTCTATATATATATGTAAGCATGTCTGATTCTTCTCGATAGAATTCGAAATTCGAATCATACCTACGTCACGTATACGTTGGGCCACAGTGCGTATAAGTGATATTTGCTGAGAAGGCATGAAAATCGAAAATATATAAGAAATAAGAGCTTTTTTTCTGTAGTTACTCTAAATAGATTATATTTGTTTACAATTTATTCCCCATGATGTATAATTTTTTTGGGGGAGAAAGATCCGAAAGTAATGTATCCGACCCACCCACTGTCCGCCTGCCCTGTCACGCCCCCTTGACGAGCGATCGACAAAAACAAAATGTTCTACCAGGCCGCGTGACTTTTATGACAGAAAGAAAGAAAGAAAGAAAAAAAGACCTACATTGAGAAAAAATAAAAGAAATAACAGCAATAAGAATCAACTAGAAGAGCCGAAGCGAAAAAGAGCTTAACACTAGGAATCGTTTATTTATGTTTATGTATCTGTATATATATATAGGTATATATATGCAAAAAAATCAGACAATGTATTTATATACGTACAACTCTGGTCAAAACAGTAGGGTTCTACATAAATAAAGGGTTATCGAAGCATTTGAAACCATGGAGAGGAATATTACGTATACGCAATGTGGGTTTTTCTTTTTCTATGAATTAATTATATGATTTATTGATCAGTTTTTTAGCTTAAATTCTATAAATGGTACTACAAGGTATTATCATATTTGTAGAAAATTTCTTTCATTGTACCACAGTGCGTATACGTTATCCGAAAGTTAAGTCATAGAACTTTATGGATCTTTAATATTATTTGGGACTAAATGTTTTTCCTTTGCTATTTCTTGTGCGTATTTCAACGTAGCCGTGAATAACCAAAAATTTTATACATGTTTCTGTGATATTTATTTTCGTACATGCATATATCGATTTGTTAAACACTATTTTCATGATACATATACGATTTTTGGGGGCAAGTCCAGCCGAGAAGAATTGAACGGAAATAGTGCAAGAACATAGTAAAATATATGTATGTATGTATATGGGAGTACGTATGTATGTATGTATATAAACGAGTGGGCTGATGAAATACCGACTGCCTCGTGGGCGAGAAAATAAAGATCCCAGAGTGACGTAGCAGATGGAGATGATTTTTTTTTTTTTGCGGCACATGACCAAATCGGGGCCAAAGGGTGGCGTATCACCTCCCATTAATAAGCGACCAATTGAGGCAAATGAAAATGCGCAACAACCAATTAATTGAGATGAGCCCATGAATGGCCCAACAAGCCAAGTAGTCAAGTGATAGCTGGGGAGCACCCTAGCCTAGGGAGGGTCTCTGTCTGTCTGTCTGTCCACTGCAGTTATTCGAGCGAGAAGAGCCCGTGGTATTAGCCGAATAATTCGCTTTTCAAAAATTTAATTTAAAGTTATAAATAGCCGGGGGAGAGAAAACAAAAAGAGGCAGAGTATGTAGCTAGCTGCCTTCACCTTGACAATTCTATAATCAAAATATAAAAACCGTAGAAAAGCGACGCGTCGGCACAAAATTGCATAAATCAGTCAGGAGGAGGACTCTATACATACAGGCGGGTGTCACGTAGACATCAACCGAAAAGCTGAAAACAGCCGACGAGAGAAAGTCCAAGGAGAATACACAGCAAGAAAATGTTTGGGGTTATTAAGGGGTATATAAAGATATTTAATATAATTCATATAAAAACATATTTTTAATTATTTAAGAGTCTAAGTTAAAACTATAAAATCTATCAAATCCTAATATTTTCATAATATCCTTAATTTCTGTATTTTGTTTCTCTCTGTGCATTAAGAAACAACATGGCGAGCGGGAGAGCGAGTACGAGAGCATATCTTCAGCATCCTAAGCTCGTTAAGCTTCGGCTGCGGTTCTCGCTATCCCGAACACTCGCGACTCGCTGCTCGGCTGGCGAGTGTGTGGCCTTCGGGTGGCGTTCGGGTCGGCGGCTGGGGAAAAAGCTTTTCGGCTGGCGGACTATTTGACGCCGCCGACAATTGGGACGCGGACAGTTGCCTGAGAATTGCCGCCCACAGCGCTTGATTTTGTCGCGCCGTTTTCCCCGTTAGATTTCACCGATTCCCAAATACCGATTCCCGTTTGGCCGTTTTTCATAATTCGTTTCTTTTTTTTTCGCTGAGAGCTGAAATTCGCGGCGAAATAATTTTAGCAACTTGTTATCCGTCCATGCCATGCGCGATAAAATATCACAACTATTTTGCTTGCAAAAAAACGCATGCAAAAATAATTCAACAGATAATAGAGGTGCGGGGGTGGTATTGTTTCTCAATTTCTCTCTGGTTGTGTGTGTGTATGAGTATGATTGTGTGTGTGTCTGTCATTCATAAAAAATAATATAAAATATGATTGAGTATTTTTTTTCAAGTGTAAAATATTATCCATGCTAATCCATGTGTTCTCTATTCTCTCTCTTTTTTTCTCTCGGTGTCGCTGTGTGTTCCTTATCCTTTTTTACAAAAAAAAAAACAGGACATAATGTGCCAACAAAAGCAACGAGCAACGGGACAATGTGCGCCAATGGGTCTCTTGGAACAGAAGGGCCCGAAGCGCCAGAGACCGACACATCAGGGACCGGGCGGATGCGGAAGCCGCTGGAGAGGAATGGCTCAGCGCAGAACCACGCTGTTCACCTCGAGAGAAGGTACATATTGCAATATTTACACTCCAATATAAACAATAATCATTCAAATATTTAGATACAATTATTCTCAAAATAAACAGATCATTAGAGATGTTTTTGTCTCCAAAGTTTCTCTATAAACAAGTAATATCTCAAGATCGTATTGTCACATTTTTATCTTTGAAAATATTTAGAAAACTGTTTACAAATATTTCAGTTTAGTTTCAAGGTTTCATAGCAAAATATATTTTCTATTTACTTGGCCGAGACGCGTGCTTTATGGATGACTTGATTTTAGCACTAAACTGTCAATCAATGGATCCCCACCCACTTGAAATTAACAAGTTTAAGGTTCTATTTTAGGCCAATAATTTAGACAACAAGATACTACCAGATACTTAAACTTTCAAGTCAGGCTTTTGTCTATTACTTTCTATAAAGTTCTTCTAACAAATCCTAACTCTTATTTGATTTTCTTATTATCCTTTCAGGCTGGGCCTCTTCAGTGGGGTGGCTTTAATTGTTGGAACTATGATAGGTAAGTCTCTATAATAATTTCATACATATTATTATTATTATTAAACCCAAAAACAATCTCCTATAATCTCATATATGAGGGAACATGGCGCCGACCAAACTCATTGAAATTAGAACAAAAATGCCAACATGGCCACAAAACACGCCATTTTCCTTGGACTGTGTCAAATGATTCTGTTTTTCTTGTTATTTTCTTTAATAAGTTTTCCTCTATTTTTTTTTTTTTTTTGGTTGAGAACCGGTGAAAATTATTGTGGCACATTTTTTCAATCGGTGTTTTTTTCGGAGAAGAAGGCGCGCATGGCCAAAAATACGTACACATAATTTTAGATACGTGTTGTATATCCAACCGAGTACATATTTACGCAGCTTCAGACGTAAATATATATATAGCATACATATAGTATATAGTCTGTTCTTCCTTTTGGCGTTCGTGTGGGTGGGTGGTCGGAGTGTGTAGATACGCAGAATGTGACGCAAAAAAGCGTCAGAAATCCGGTAAAGTGTGGTGGACGTTGTGCGGGGCTTCGGGTTTGGGTGTTTTGGGAGGGATTAAGGGCAGCCATTCCGCCCGGCATTCCACTGAATCTGAAAAAGGAAGCCTACACACGGCCCACACACACTTGCGGTTACCATAAAAGTTTAATCAGTAATTGAAATGTATTTAATTTCCAAAGTATTTTTTTTGTTATGAACCCTTTTTATTCTTTTGGGGTTTTAATGGGGGTATTGAAGAGTATTTATAATATTTTGCTTTTAAATTAAAAATTTTTAAAATATATGATATTCAACTAGGACATTTTCTTATAAATTAAGGCAGGCTAGTTAGCGGACACACGGACAAACGGACAAAATTAAATATTTTCAAGGGATTTCTTGAAAAAAAGATTAAGAAACGAACTAAATTAGCTTGATTTTGGTGGGGGAAGTCTTTTCTATGTAATTTATGCTTTTTAAGGGTAAAATATTACAAAACATTAACGGACAGACGGACAAACGGACAGGAATTTTAGTGAATATATTAAAAAAACCGATAGAGGAATAAATTTTAATATTTTATGGTCAAATATATCTTCTAAAGCAGTTAAGTCCCTAGAAGACTAGTTTTCTGAATATTCTGAATATATACTTTGGGAATTTCAAAAGAAAAACCATATAAACCTACGGACAGATGGACATACGGACAAACGGACAAGTTAATATTTTAAAAATAACTCTTACCTCTCAAACCTTCATCACTTGTTCCTCAAATACGTTTATTTATGACATGAACGCCGGATATTATCGGTATTGCACTTTGACCTTAGGCAATGGCGCCAGTTGTGGCACGCATTCGTGTTACCAAATTGTTGCACGCTCTCACCACCACTCGCCCACTCGCCCACCCAACCACCCATCCGACCATCCTCTCCCACCTTCGAAGGGTGGTTCGTTCTCTGCACGAGATAGAAACCGTTATTTTCCCGTTATTTTGAGCTTTTACCAAATGGTGGAAGCTTTCTCAGTGTGGCAAGTGGCCCACCGCCCACTGATGACGTCTTTGCCACCCACTGATAGCCCACCACCCACTCTCATTAGCATAAACGAATCAAAAACATCGCGTGCTCCAATCAGCTGTTTTCAACCCACCCCCACCCCCACCTAGAATGCAGCCTTAATATATGCTACGAAATACTAATACCAATATATATGTATGTGCATCTTCTCTCCCCAAACAGGGTCTGGAATTTTTGTGTCACCCTCCGGTTTACTGGTTCGCACTGGTTCCGTTGGAGTTAGCTTTATAATCTGGCTTGCCTGTGGTCTGCTCTCCCTGCTGGGTAAGTACCACCATCTAATCAGGGGGTTAATCAGGCGACTTTTGGGCCACGTGCAGCTGACCCACTTACGGGCAGCCGCCAAGTGGCCAAGAGCCGTCATCCATCACAACTTGTTGCACGGCTGGCAGACGGCCAGCGGTATGTTTAGAGGATTCCCCTACCTTATCTGTTGCACTGAACTTGCCCCAAAAAAAAAAAAAGAGGTGGCCCCTCAAGGTTCAAGCTAATAAAGGCTAAGAGCTATTATTTAAAAAGCCAATTAACCCTTAAATATATTTTTGTTTTTGATTTTTTTTAGGCGCTCTGGCATATGCTGAACTTGGCACAATGAACACTTCGTCGGGGGCGGAGTGGGCGTACTTTATGGACGCCTATGGACCGGCGCCGGCGTTCCTGTTCTCATGGGTGTCGACTCTGGTGTTGAAGCCATCTCAAATGGCTATAATATGCTTATCATTTGCCCAATATGCCGTTGAGGCTTTTATAACGGAATGCGATCCGCCGAAGGGCGTTGTCAAGATGGTTGCTTTGGTGGCAATTGGTAAGAATAACGGTTTATATTACTCGTATAGAACTAAGGTCACACTTAATTTTAATTTCAAATATAATTTTAAAGAGATTTTTCTTCGAAAGTTTATTATTTATTATTTGGAACTCAATTTTAAACATATTTTATTTTTATTTTCGAAATTCAACATTAAAATAATTCTTCTCCACTTCTCCGCCACACTAATTTTCGATTTCGAACTCAGTTTCGAATGTAATCTTTATCGAAACTGGTATTTAAAAGTTTAATTTTTAATAAATTTCTTTCTCTCTGTTACAGTGATGATCCTGTTCGTGAACTGCTACAGTGTTAACCTGGGCATGGCCGTTCAGAATATATTCACCGCCGCCAAACTGGTCGCCGTGGTGATCGTCATCTGCGGCGGTGCCTACAAACTGATGCAGGGCAACACCCAGCACCTGGCGAATGCATTTAATGGTCCGATGCCTAACATGGGCGCCATCGCCACAGCCTTTTACACGGGCCTGTGGGCATACGATGGCTGGAACAATCTGAATTACGTCACCGAGGAGATCAAGAACCCCAGCAAGAACCTACCCCGCTCCATCATTATTGGCATCCCCCTGGTTACCCTGTGCTATGCCCTCATCAATATCTCCTATCTGGCGGCCATGTCCCCGCAGGAGATGATCGAGTCGGATGCGGTGGCGGTCTATTTTGGCAATCGCGTCCTTGGAGCACTGGCGTGGCTCATGCCCCTCAGCGTCACCATTAGCACCTTTGGCAGTGCCAATGGTACGCTCTTTGCTGCCGGCCGGTAAGTTTACTTGATTTATATCCAGAGAAGGCCATATCTCTACCTATATCCATTAGATTCTCAAGGGCTGGGCCTTAAAAGATTTTAAGATCGATTCTCCAATGATATGAATTAAAACCTAATCCCAAAATATTTTAGAAATATTTCTAAAATTTATTTAAATGAAGAACACTATGGGGATCAAAATATGACCCAAATCAGAAGATATATCTTCGCTAATATATATCCGATTCTCTAGCGGAATTCTTTTTACCAATTCTCTATTAATCTGCATTAAAAACTGATCTGTAAATATTTGTTTATAATTTTCATCAATTTTTTCTATGCGAGCCCTTTGAAAATATGAGAGTACCCCCATATCCTAAGATCATATCTCAACCAATTTTTAGCCAATCTTCAAGCAGGATACCTTAAAAGATTCGTGAAGATCTTCTCTACTAATCTGCATAAAAATCTTAAGAATAACTTTTAAATAGTTTATTTTTATAATTTTTTCCCAAGAGTCCTTAACAAAAATTGTAAAAACGAAAGCCAGGCCCATAAAAATAGGCAATATATTTTTTTTGTTTAGTTTTGTATCCTTTATTATAGCTTTCCAATATTATATAATATTATAAAATGTTGTTTCCATTTCAGGCTCTGTTTCGCGGCCAGCCGAGAGGGTCACCTGCTGGATATTCTCTCCTACGTTCATATACGCCGTCTAACACCTGCCCCAGGCCTGATATTCCACGTAAGTGTCTAGTTATACCAAATGTGGCAAGTTTAGAGCAAGTTTTGATAGTACTTAAAGATCTTTAATACTTTAAATAAATTTTCATGAAATTTTTAAAAAATATAACATATAGCATGCATTATTAATTAAGAAATTTATCTTTTAAAAAATAGTTTTTGATTGTAGAATCTTAAATTTTTTTGATTAAAATTCCCCAATAACCTGATAGCTATATGTTATCCTGATCCTAACCTAAATCTAAACTCCCTTCTTGTTCTTTTTATTTATCTCTTTCTCTCCCTTTCTCTTTCTATCTCTTTTTCTCTGTGCGTATGTTCCCGTAACCGTATACCGTATACCGTATCCGTATCCGTCTCCGTCACCAGTCGCTGATTGCCTCGGCAATGGTGCTCCACGGCACGATTGATTCGCTGATTGATTTCTTCAGCTTCACCGCCTGGATATTCTACGGCGGAGCCATGCTGGCCCTCATCGTGATGCGCTACACCAAGCCCAACTACCCGCGGCCCTACAAGGTGCCGATCATCATTCCCGTTGTGGTCTTGGCCATTTCTGTGTATCTCGTGGCGGCGCCCATATTTGAGACGCCCCGTATCGAGTATCTGTACGCCATGATCTTTATATTCGCGGGCCTGATCTTCTATGTGCCGTTTGTTAAATGGGGCATGACGCCGAGATTTATGAGTAAGTGAAAGTCAAGGATAAAAAGGACTTTATTTTAAAAATGTTTTATCTTTTTCCTTTCCAGATAAAGTAACACTATTCTTCCAGCTACTGCTGGAGGTGGTGCCCACTTCTTCGATGGCCATGTTCGAGTAGAAAGGACTCCATAACCATGGAATGATGATGATGATGAGGAGAAGCAAATACATTCACTTATTTACTATACAAACAAGGATATATGTTAGGAGTGAAGCCAGGGATGGCGGCAAGGGAAGGAATTTCGATAGGGGGATATATGTATATGTAGAATTGAAAGGAACGATTGAGCAACCTATTATGATATATATATATATATATTGACGTTGTCGTTGACAAAAGTAATGCTAGAGAAACAAAAAACTATTTGAAATAGTCTTTTTTATGCTATGAGCTGGTTACATTCATATACAGATACATAGTACGTATGTATATACATATACCTTTATTGATTGTGTGTAGGCCAAGTTGCATAGTTGATAATACGTACTATAGAACTATAGAAACATATATTTTTATGTTTTAGTACCTAGAGAGATCCCAAAAAAACATACAAAAAAAAAAAATCAAATGACAAAAAACACACTCACATACAGAGAAGACCTACAGAGAAGAATATCCTTGCCAAGCGGTTGGAAGTCTGACGGAGTGCTCGAGGTCGAAGGTTAAAGTACAGTGCCGCCAAAAGCACCACCAATCAGTACAGTACCCACCTAAAATAGGCAGCTTTCCGCATCGATTTGTTACTATTATTATTATTAATAATTTTTGATCCTAATCCCAATCTCGATACTATATACAAAAAAAAAAATACCTGCGTTGAATACGAGTTTAACGATCTAGAGATCGATTTGAATAGCAATATTTATGTGTACATTGTATGTGACAAAGTGATGTTTATGCAACAAACAAAAAAAAATCACAAGAACTACAACAACAAAAAGAAGAAAACTATTTAAAAAAAAAGGACAAAAAACAAACCCCAACCGAATGTTTCTAACTTTGACGCGTCAAGGATGCGCGTTTCGAAAATCGTAGGACTGCAAAATAGGCATTAAAAATTTGTAATTGAATACCAAAATTAAGGTCACTAGAAAAAAAAAATGCAAACCAAAAAAATAGCAAAACTTGGATAAACAAAAACAAAAAACACAACTATATAGAATAATTGCTAAACATTTTTTTTTTTGCATCATATGTTGGGCTTTGAGAAATCGTTTTTTTTTTTTTGAGAAATCAAAGCTAAGACTAGAATTTAGAAAGACGGTTATACTTTTACAAAAAAAAAAACAAACACAAAAAGAAACACTATTATTAATAGTTATATTATTAAAAATATATATTTTTGAAATTTTCTAATGTATTTCCTTCGGTTTTTGATCCTTTGTGAAGGACTCTTTTCGCACGAATTAGAAAAAGACAGCAGATGCCGATACCGTGCCATCTCACTCTGACCCAAGCGCCTGGCGCTTGAAAAATAAAATATTTGAAAATATATTTCAAAATATTTGAGTCGACCTGGCCGGGAATCGAACCGTAAAATAATTTAAAAACTTGGATGATTTTTTTAAATATTTCTCGCCTTGCTTCTAGCATCTGTCTGAACCGATTTACAAAGAAATAATAATAATTATCTATATATCTATAGATTTTTCAAAACGTACATACACACACACACATAAATACATACATATTTAATATATATATATATATATAATTTGTTAAGTTTATAAATATTATAATTTTTATTACCAAAACTATTTACAATGAGCTAAACGGTAACCAGAACAAATCGAAAATCTCTATCTATACATGTACCTACCAACTAATGACAAAATAATTGTATTATGTAAACCAAGAAATTGAGGAAATAAAGTTTTTGAAACACAATTTAGTTTGAAATATTTATAGGAAAAGGAATGCAAAGCATTATGGGAATACAAGTAGGTGTATATCTTAATATATATGCATTTCTTTCTTTGGTTATTTTTAGAAATTTTATAAAAATTTGCATAATTAAAATTTCTTTATTTTTGCATTATTTATTCAAGCTTTTATCAAGGTTGAGATAAACATGAATATGTTTTTTAAAATGCAGAAGCTATCTAGCTTTCAAAATTTTAGAAAAAGCATCACAAATCTTGGCTCATTTTTAAAAAACATTTAAATACAAGCTCTAATTCACAATTTAAATATTTTTTAGCCGCAGCTAGGAGCTGTCACAGAAGGCTTTCAGGTTTCTGCAATGTAAAAATTAATTCTCCAACAAGAATTTCTCCCAAAGTTATGTCTTCTTTTTCACTTCCCGACTAACTTCATCCAGTTTGAATTCTGGGAATAGGATACCGATTTCTCGCAGGGCAGATTCTTCGCTGTCGGATCCGTGACAGGCATTTCGGGTATCGGACAGTCCATAGAGAGCCCGAATGCAGTTGGGATCACTGTATACAGCTCGGAATACCTTGGTGGGTCCAAGAAGGCCTCGCCATTTTTGGATGCAGGCCTCTGACTGCAGGATAAGAGCATAGCAGGGACCACTAATGCCAAATATATAATAAGCATTTAATCAATGTATTCTTTATGTTTAAGAACTTACGTACCTGTTCATGAAAGTGGTTAGTCGATGGTAGAAGAACTTGCCCCGGTGCTCCTCATAGAATCTCGCGGAGATGTCCTTTGTGATGTGCACCTCCTTCTGGTCGAGCACTGTGAAATTCTGGGCTATCAGCGCCCGGATCTGTTGCATGGCATATGTATTTCGCAGAACGTGCGGTTTAATAAGAGCCAAAGTAATTTCCATTATATCACTAAGCTTTTCAAGATTTAATAATTCTTGCCCTTTGGGTGCCAAGTTCTGCCTTGCTTTGTGTCTTAAAAAATGTATTTTTATCTGAAATAAATATATAAATCTTTAAATATACGGAAAATTTAGAAATAATTAAGTATTGTGTTACTACAAACCTAAAATCTAAAGTTTACTTAATCAATGTTGCCGGTTTCTGTGTTTTAGAACATCAGCTGTTTAAATATTGGTGATGGGCAATCGAAAATGTGTCGATAAATAAGTGACATTGTTTTTATTGAAATTAATAGAATACAAAACCCAATTAAATAATAAAAGATAAATTAATTAAAAACGGAAATGCTAAATTCAAATGCTATTCAAATCGTCTCAGGAATTGTTACTTTTTTAAACAACTTATCGTTATCGTATGTGTTGAATTTATCGATAGATATCGCACTATTTACCAACACTGGACAATCAGCTGGCCGCATTACACAAGCAGCCGCTTCCCTCAGATTCCTCTTCTTGTTTAAGTGCAATTATATTAATTAAAAGGTAGTCATGCCTTTCATGAAAGGACGCGAGCCGATTCGGCGCACTCTCAACTACCTAAACGCCGGCAAACTGGTCCTCAAGGACAAGGTCCGCATCTTCAGTGTCAACTACAACACATACGGTGATCATCACGCGGGTGCCAGGTAAGTTTCCTATTCAGATTATCCAATGGTATCCTAATTGCCACTATTTGCAGGGACTTTGTCTTCTGGAACATTCCACAGATCCAGTTCAAGAATCCCGAAGTTCAGGTGCTCACCCTTAAGAACCTGACGCCGTCGCCGTTCGTGCGATGCTACTTTGAAGATGGCCGGGACATGCTGATCGACATTGAGGGACGAAACAAGAACGATATCATCGAGCACCTGGTCCAGGTGGTGGGCAAGACGAGGTGAGATTAGAGCAGATAATATGTTGCTTATATTTATTAATATTTCTTCAAGTTTGGTTTAAAATCAGTTACAACTTATCCTAATTGACAGAGTTCTTTGCGAATTTTTGTGAAAAATTAAGTTTAGCTCGGTTGAGGCAGGAAATATAATGGTAGAAAACGAAAAATAAGTTATATAAATTTAAAAAATCAGTACATTTACTTAAGTGATTTGTTCCCTCGCAAGCAATACACTAAAATGCTGCCTTTTTCTTGCCCATTCACACAGAGAGCAACTGGACGCGGAGGCGCGCCTAAAGGAGAGCAAGGACAATCCGGCAAACTTTGGCTACGGCTGCGGCAGGCACTGCATTTGTGAGATTCCCGGACAGGTGCGGTGTCCGGGCACAGTTCCGCTTCCCGAACAGATGCGTGGGAAATTCAAGTTTGCCCCCAAGTAGATGCTCCCGGTTGATTTTTCCTCTCCTACGTTTTTTTTAAATAAATTAATTATAAAACTAAACTAAACGCCGGCAAGGCTCGTCCGTTGAGGTAGCACCCAAAGTACCATGGCTTTGTACGAACTGGGTCTCGTGGTTTCAGCGTCTCTTGGGGCGCTGCTGTCGGTGGTATGGTGCCGAGGATTTGCCATAGCGCTGGGATGTGTCACGGTCCTTGTTGAACTGATAGCGCTGGATGAAGGGCACGTTCGTCTCGCCTCGGCCATGTGTGTTTAGCTCCAAATTGTCGTCGGTCTGACGCTCCAGCACCTTCAGCTTTGCCTCTATGGCGCGTATGGCCTCCGATTTGCTAATCTTTTCCTCCCTCTTGCCGGTGCCCAGAGCTGGGATCTCAATGCGGGGCTTTGGTTTCTGCAGGTCGTCCTGCAAGTGATAATGATTATAAATAGTGTCCTACAACAATAACTAGTTATAGGGGACTTACATATTTGATATTCTTGGCTAGACGCACGGCGATGGAACGATTTCCAACGCTGCTGCCGTCAAGTTTCATCAGCGCATTGGTGGCTCCTTCGTTCTGTGAAAGTGGGAGATGCATTTACAAGGTTGGGGAAGGTTGCACTGTAGCAACACTCACCTGAGCAAAGGTGACGAAAGCATAGCCACGGGATTGGCCGACCATGGGGCCTCCTTTGTGGAAGAGCATGTCGAACTTCTCGATGGGGCCGCATTTTTGCATCAGTTTGAGTAGTTGAAACCGATTGGGGGCAATGCAAAGGGTCTATTAGCACCGTCGAGGCATATTCATGAAATTATTGTTCAACTTACTCGGTGATGCGAGAATCTAGATTTCCAACCCAAATCCGTCGCTGCTCCTCGGAGTTTCCAGTCGTACTGCTGCTACTTGTGGCACTGGAACTGGTCTGAAATCAAAGTCAATTTACTACAGTTAAGAAGAAAACTACAAAATATATATTATACGCACTGCACTTGCCATTTTCTTTTGGCCAAAACAAACCAAAGAACGAAACTATTTTTTGTGTATGGGTGGTGAGTTGCGGTCAGCTGTCTGCAGTTTATCGTTTATCGAAAATAAACTCACCATCAAGAAAGTGTTGGAAAAGGTAAGAAGCAAGGCACTATAATTTGAATTAATATGATTTTAAAATTAAACAATAAATAAAAAATAAAGCATATGCAGTGGACTTCCCTAGAAGATATTAATTTATTTATCATAACGCCTAAGGGTAAGAGCGTATACATATCAAACTGTATCACAAAACAAACAATTTTTACACGTTTTGTTAACTTAATGTAATAATGAGAAATATTTATTTGTAATTTTTATTATATTAAGAGCTTTTAATGTAAATTAGTATTAAATACTTGAAGTTAAGTCAAATTTCCGTTAAAAGTATTTCAAACCAGCGGTACAGCTCGATCCTCGATAACAGAGGGTCGATAGAGGTCTGCGCTATCGAACTACCATCTCTAAAGACGACGCTGGGCTGTTAATCGTTTTGTGTCCAACAGTCGATCCGCAATATTTTAATCAAAAGGAAAATAGAAAAAGCCCCAACGATGGAGGACGCTCCAAACTTTCAGTTCGTGCTGCCTCTGAACTCCTCCGATCTGATCAACTCATGCTCGGATCAGTACTTTGTAAAGGAAGTGTTTCCCAGTTCCGAAATACCCGGCAAACTACTAGGTGAGTTTCCGTTGGCGCGTCGTTGTATTTGAATGCTCCCAAGTATTTATTTACATTAATTTTGGCTTTAAATTCCACAGAATGCAAACGAAAAGCACACCAACAAGATCCATTCTACATCTTCGAACATTTCGACACATACTACTCCGTTCTGGAGTCCCCCGGGGTCGATAGTGCCTCTGTGCGCAATCTTATGCGCTCCTTCGACCTGATCTACATCACGGTCGATAAGCTGGGCCAGGACCTACAGCCACTGCTCACCAGCAGTGAGCCCATGTCCAATCAGGTGCGCAGCAGCTACCTCAACCTGACAAAGATGGTGCTCTTCCTCCAGGTGAGCACGGTGAAGAAGCTCGACCAGATCGTCCAGCAAACGCTGCGCGATCAGCAAATCAACGTCCAGAAGAAGCGGGCCAAGCAGCAGGAGGTCATGGAACAGTTCCCCGACTGGGACCACAAGCGGGGCAAGTTCCTCATCCAGCTTTTCAATATTCTGCAATGCCCGCTGGAGAAATTGTGGAGTCCGCCCGTCGCCGAGGAGGATTTTGTATCGTAAGTTGCATGAGTGCCTTCAGTAGAGAGTCTACTGTACTCAGCGGATTTCAATTCTTGCAGGATGTTCTGCGACATTTGCTATCGAACTCTGGAGCTGCACCAACTGCGCTCGGACAACCGACACATCTTCGACACGGTCTTCCAGATCCTGGGCACTTGTATTAAACGATTCAATCAGGCCATGACTTTCCCAGTCCGTATCCTGCAGGTTCTGCGCGGCACAGAGCACTCGGCATCTTCGATTGCCAACGGAATCTTGCTTCTGCACGAGGAGTATGGAATCTCGTCGGTATTTTCCATCCTCCTAAAGAGCATTGTGGAAGTCCTCAACCAAGACACCTCTGACTCGGCGGTGTCGAAGAACTTTTCGAATTTTCTCACTGAATTCGCCAACATTGCGCCCAAACTGATCATTCCCCACTTGGCGAAGCTGGCCGAGGAGCTGCTCGACTGCCAGTCGCATTCCATTCGCAACTGCGTGCTCCAGATAATCGGCGACACGGTGGTGTGCGAGTTAACCTCGGAGGAGCTCACCGATGAGTTGCGCGAAGTGCGCAACGAATTCCTTGATCATCTCCTCGACCACATACTGGACATATCCGCCCATGTGCGCTCCAAAGTGCTCACAATTTGGCACCATCTCAAGACCCAGCATGCCATTCCGCTCAGCTATCTGACCAAAGTCCTGGAGGAGACGGTGGGTCGGCTGGAGGACAAGAGCTCACTTGTGCGTCGCGCCGCCATGCAGCTTATCAAGTCCGCCCTGGAGAGCAATCCCTATTCGCCGAAACTCTCGCTGGACGATCTGCGCGTCAAGCACGAAAAGGAGGTGGTGGCCATGGAGAAGCTGAACGAGCGGCTGGAGGAGGAGCGCAAGCAAGAAGAGAAGCTCAACGAGGAATGGGGCACCCTGGCCGTGGAATTGCTGCCCTTCATCGAAGAGAATCTCAAAGAGTGTAAGTTGGACTTTGATTCTAGTAGGAGTTCTGGATCTAAATCGGAATCTCCTTTAGTTCCAGAAATGCAGTTCGACAAGGAGGAGAGTGACGAGAGTCTCATCCAGAGAATCATTCCTTTGATGCGGGAGAAGGACTACAAGGCTGTTATAGTGCTGGTCCGTAAAGTGGACTTTCTGGCTGGTAATCAGGCCATGAGGTAAGTTATTCAAAGCCACTGTTAGTGTCTCTTAGTGGATCATCTAATCGCTTTCTTCCAGTTCCCTGCTGAAGCACGAGGAGCACTGTGTTTATGTAATGGCTTTGATGAAAACCTATCACCTTCTGGCCGCCGGATTCAAGCAGAGTGTAGGTGTACCGACCTCTAGAATTCAGAAATGTATATAACCATTGAATGCTTTCCCTTTCAGAGCGAGGAGATGCTGCACCAGATCAAGACGGTACAGTTCCTCAAGGACAGCATCGAATTTGCCCAAATGGTCACCGCCGCCTTCCCCAAGCTGCACGAGATGCTCATGTCGAAGACGAACAGCGATGTGTTCGAGGCCGTGGATCTCTTCACCACCGGCTACATGTTCGGCATTCACGGCACCTTGTCCGGCATGCAGCAGATGCTGCAGCTGGTCTGGTCCTCCGACAAGGAGAAGCGGGACGCCGTCTGCGCGGCCTACAAGCGCATCCTCTTCACCACGGATCAAACTGGGCGCACTCATGCCATACTGGTGGTGCAGAACCTGTCCAAGTTCCTCTCGGACATCGAGTACGGCCACTTCAAGGCCCTCGAGTCGCTCATGGCCGAGTGGGTGAACGGCGAGGACATCGATGCCGCTGTGATCAAGGTCCTGTTCGAGAGGTTCACCCTCAAGCTGGAGGGTACGACGCCCAACGATGCGCGGCTGGCGCTGCAGCTCCTGATCATGGCCTCCAAGTCGAAGGCCAGCATTTCCGCTGCCAACATAGCCCTGATCGAGTCCATCGCCATCGGGGAGCGGGGCCGACGAGATCCGCGCCTCTTCTCCGGCTGCCTCCAGTTCCTGCTGAACTCCATTGATGCCAACAACAACGCCAAGTACTACAAGCGCCTCAACAGGGACGCCGAGTTCGTGCAGAGCATCACCCGGCTCTTCCTCGACTTCTTCTTCCACGAGAAGCTGTCCAACTTTGATGATGTGGCGACGAGCCTGTTCGAGTACCTGTATCGGATGTGCCAGGCTCCGGACTTGATTGCCCAGCGGCTGGTGGCGGAGCTGTTGCGGCGCTTCAACGACAACTGGCTGGTGGAGGAGTCAGCTGCCGGGGCGGACAAGGAGAACGACCTGGGCCTGGGCTCGCAGCTCTCGCAGATCCCCTACTCTCAGCCAGCATCGGTGGCCCTAACCCAGACGTTCGGCGCGACCCAGAGTCAGGGCAGTTGTATGCCCGTGTTCCTGTTGTCGCGCTTCATATTCTGCATCGGCTACATGACCGTCAAGGAGATGATCTTCCTGGACATGGACGTGTACAACAACATGAAGTACCGCGAGAAGATCACTGCCCTGGAGGAGCGCGACAAGCGCAACCAGATGGCGAGCAGCGCCCAGACCCCGGCCCGACGAACCCTCAACATGTCGGCGATGGAGGTGCGGAAACGGCTGTCGGGGGTGACGGCGGAGCCGCAGCAGGAGCCGGACGAGGACCTGGTGGGCGCCACCGCCGAGGACAACATCGCCGAGGAGATCAACGCCATCTGCGAGGACCTGATGCTGTTCAATCCGAACGCCCTGCTCTCCCACCTCTCGCCCACCATCATCGAGATCTGCAAGCGGCCGGGCGAGTACCGGGACGCGAAGCTGCAGCAGTCGGCGACCTTGGCTCTGGCCCGCCTGATGACCGTGTCGTCGCGGTTCTGCGAGTCGAACATGAGCTTCCTGATGAACATCCTCAACCTGACCAAGAACATTCGCATCAAGTGCAACACGGTGGTGGGACTGTCGGATCTCACGTTCCGCTTCCCGAACATCATCGAACCCTGGACCGGTCACATCTATGCCCAGCTCCACGAATCCGACACTGAGCTCCGGCTGACGGCCATTAAGATGCTGTCGCATCTCATCCTGAACGAGATGATCCGCGTCAAGGGCCAGATCGCCGACGTGGCGCTGTGCCTCGTCGACGAGAACGAGGAGATCCGCGACATCACCAAGCAGTCCTTCAAGGAGATTGCCAACAAGCCCAACATCCTGTACAACGTCCTGCCCGACATCATATCGCGCCTGAGCGACGTGAATCTCGGCCTGGAGGAGGATCGCTACCAGCAGGTCATGTCCTACATCCTGGGCCTCATCCAGAAGGATCGCCAGATCGAGACGCTGGTGGAGAAGCTCTGCCTCCGTTTCCCGGTTACCCGCGTGGAGCGGCAGTGGCGCGACATCGCCTTCTGCCTCAGCCAGCTGACCTACAACGAGCGGGCGGTGAACAAGCTGATCGACAACGTCCAGCACTTCCGGGACAAGGTGCAGGTGGACGAGGTCTATCAGTCCTTCAAGCTGATCATCAGCAACACCAACAAGCAGGGCAAGCCCGAACTAAAAGCCGTCATCACCGAGTTCGAGAAACGGCTGAAGGAGTGCTTAGAAGTGAATCCGGATCCGGCGTCGGGTCAGTCGGGCGACCAGCCTGGTGCATCGGGGGTGGACGCCAACCGATCTCGTGCTCCGGCACCGAAGTCGAAATCCCGTGGCGGTCGCCAGCCAGCCGCCGGCAAGAAGGCTCCGGCCAAAGGACGTGGTCGACGCGGTCGCAAGGACTCTACCTCCGATGAGACCAGCGATAGCGACAGTGACTAGTCACTGTAACTTTCTCAAGTATTCATCAAGTTTTCATCAAGTTCGAACAAAGGAGAAAAATTTCTTAATCTTAGCATATAAATTAAAATTAGTATGAAGATAATTCTATTATTTAATTAAGCTATTTTTATTTTTTTTCATTTAAATCATAATTTGTATGTATGATAATAAATAAATTTTGGGTATTTCGCAAGGGTACTAGTACTAGGGGAGGTCTAAACCTCTCCCTGGGGAGGTTTATCCCTAATATCCTTAACCATTTAGACCATTTCCGGTTTCCATTTAAACTCATGTCAGAGATTAAAGTCGCAGCTCGCAGCTCGCAGCTCGGCTAATGCAAAACGCCTCGCATGAGCTGCATGAGTGATTTGCTGCCCGAATTACGTATGCAGCAAATGACCATCATCCTGCTCCCAGCACGCTGCCATAAAAAATTGCCTTACGAAGGAGTCGGGAGTCAGGAGCCGGGTGCCAGGAGCCAAAGGACGAGACCCGGACCTAGTGTGTGGGTTAAAATATGCGCACAAGCCAGCAATTGCAGCGGCGTGGCCATATAGCTATATAGAAATTGAAGCTTGCATACTAAAATGCATTCCCTAAATACACTTTCCAAAAAGGATAATGATTCCAAAGCAAGGAAGTGTTTTTTTTGCAGTGTAATAACCCATTAAGAGTACTAGGGCATCATCCTAATTATCCTTTAAAGCTATAATATGGTGGAAAGATATTTTCTACAGTGTCCTGCTACCAGGACTCCAACTCCGTCTTGGCCTCTGGCGGCGACATCTCTTTACAGTTTCATGTGAGCCTGTCCGGTTGGAGTTCGTCCTTCTCTCCGTTTGAATTATTCAAACAAATGACGCAACTTTTCCAACAACCGGCGGGGTGTTTCATCATCACTCTGTAACACTCACGGTGGATACTGCATCATGGTGCATCATACATGCCTACATCTCGTCCAGCGTACAGGGTACAGCGTCCAGTTCCAGGTTACCAGGCTCCAGGCTCCGTCTCCAGCGCCTTGTTAGTTCAAGGACGGCAATTTGTGTTGGCTGGGCGACAAATTACAGTAGAGTGGCGACAGTACACTGAGAGATATAGTATATTAATTCAAAATAAATGCTAATTTTAGAAGGAAATACTAAAGAATTAATGTATTTGAAAAAAAACCAATAAGTAATATTTGTATTTAAAAATTTAAATATAAGAATAGTGTCCTAAAACCTCTAACTTCAGTGTGGAGTAAGGTGGGCGAAACAGGAAGGAAAAATAAAAAATGGAGTCGGAATGGCTGACATGCAAAATGACAACCGGAAACTAAGCTTTACATCGCTGTCACAGTGTTGCCAGATTTCTGACATTAAATAAATTAAACTGTAAACATTATTAAGCCTTTAAAAACTTAAATAAACTAAAAAACACACAACAATTTAAAGCAATTCTTGATAAAAATAAAAATATAAATCAAATGTCAGTTTGCAGTCCTTTATGAAGACATAGGAAATAGTGTGTCCTCGGACACTAAAGGACAACGGGATAAAAGAAGCCCCAGGGGGCGTGGTGAAAGAAGTTAGTAAGCAAGGAGGAGGAGAGGAGGAGGAGCAGGACCCGGAACTTATCGCATACAATGCGCATTAGTAGTGTCTACATGCATCTGCATCAAGTTATTTCCATACTGGCCGGAGTCCAGAGTCCCGGAGTCCCGGAGTCCGGACTCTCGAGAACGGCTGTTGCATATTTCAATGAGCTTTGTGGATTTTCTCCGTTTGTCGTCGTCGTCTTCGAGCTTTATTTTGCTCCACTTTGTCTCATCCAGAGGGAGGAGTCTTGCATTCCTAGCGGATTATATAGAGGTTTCCCGTGCAAAATATATATAGACTCTACTAATTAAACACTTAATAAAACCAATTAATAATGATTCTTTGCGGTTTTATGCTGAACCTATTTCTGGATTTGGCCACAATTATGTTCCTGACACTGACAACTTGTTTTGTAGGCCAGTGGGTCCTGAAATATGCATATTTCCATCACCGACTTGCGGCTTTTAATGCAGTTATAATGTGATATGGGGCCTGACCGCAGACTTCTTGCCGTTTCCTTGCAGTAACACATGTCAACTGCATTCTCCGGCATATGCCACTTGCGGCTCCTTTAATTATCCTTTCCCAGGACAATGCCCACTAATTTTCGCCCAGCTTAGGTCTCAATTGAGTTTCTAATTAACTCGGAATTCTAATTGAAATATATTTAAATTAATTTGGTTAAGCCCAAAGCCTTAGGCTTGGCCTTAAAACTTAAATAAAGGTATTATTTTATTGAAATTAAAATTATTTAGCTTCTTCTTTAGCTTTTCTCTTTCATTGCAAAAGAGTACACATTTTGGGGTAAAAAAGGGGGGAAAAGCAAAAACAAAAAGAAAATAGAGCGATCCCTTTATGATCCTCCTTCTTGAAAGAGAAATTTCGCCTTTTTCGCTCCTAGCGTCAGAAAGAGAGCAGCCTTTGGGGTTCTGCTTTGGGGGATCAGCAAGGAGCGTTTCATTTACCTCTTCATGCTCAGTGAGGGCGCATCGGCCCAAGGAGCGAGCCTGTCCAATTGTAAGAAGAAGAACTAGAAATAAAGAAAAGTGAAAGATCCGCCATTACTGCTGGCAAGGATCATTTGTTGCTGGATTAAAATTAATTGTAAGTTGTAACAATATTTATTTATCTATTAGTACTAGTTTTTAATGCTTACAAACGTAAAGGAAAGGAGAGAGCCTATCTGTGACTGGCCGCCATAGCTGAAATAATATTGAATTGTTTTGAAATAATACATATGTTATGTAAGATTTAATTCTTTCCATTCATTATTATTTATTCCTTTTTCTAAAAACCAAACTCAAACAAGTAAATTTAAAAAGAAGAATCATTTAAAACGGGAGCCACTTTAAAGTGCTACCAAATCCCGTTACTTTCCACAGCAACATCTTGTATTTTATTGCTGATTTTTTATTGCTCCTTATTTAAGTGACTTGTGAGTGGAAAGAGAGGAAATTTGGAAGGATTCGATGTTTCAGCTTTAGACAAGCAAGATGAGAGTTTTAAGTTACGGCTTGTCTATGGAAAGTGCAAAAGAGAACTCTCTTTTATCCTTGAAAAAAAAGGAAAAAATGAGAAATTTATGGCTTGCGGATTTAAATTAAGGGTAAGTTTTTTTTTAATTATTTCCAAAAAATAAAAAAAATAAGTAAAAGATTTAAAAAATTTTAAAACGGAAAATGTAATTTAAAGTGAATGTAAAAACCAAATCTAAAGACCTTTTAAAAGCTTAAAAGTGAAAAAATTAATAAAATATTTTGGCTAAATATTAAAATTATACAAAACTTAAACAAAAGAGGTTAAAAACTTAACTAAAACACGTTTTTTTTATGTATATATTTTATTTGTATCCTTCTTATACACATTTTTAAATATATTTTAAGAAAATACCATATATTTTCTTATTGACTTAATTATCTTGTTGATATTTAATTTTCTTCAAAGTAAAATCCTCGTCCCCGATAGCAGATAATTTGAAGTGCTTCCGATTATTGATTTCGTAAACTTCCCTAAGGGCTGATTGCAGATTCTCGAAAGTGCATTTTCATTGGAGGAGCAAGGGAGAGACTTGGTCAGCTCCAGCTGTTTATTTTGTTTTGGGTGCCATTCTGGTACATACATACATATGTCTCCACTTATCCACTGCCCCAACCATCCACTACCCATTCTGCTTTCAAGCCCCTTCGACTTTTAACCACTTTTCCTTATGCACACCGTGCCGGCGGCAAATTGCAAAATGGACACAATTTTTGCTACCAATTTTTTTTCCTTTTTTTTTTTATTTAGTTTTTCTTTTTTTTTTTTGTACGTTTTCTCTTTCTTGTTCATAAATATAACTGCTATTATAAATGCACACATACTCATATGCGTTTACACTTGAAACTATAAATGGGAGAAGATTTTAAAGATCATTTTTTTAAAGGATTTTAATTTATTTTTATAGACTCTTTATTTATAGAGTTATAATAATAAACTAAAATACTAAGTATTGTATGCCATTTGGTCCTTTTAAGAAAACTAAAGCCTACTTTTGTGGGTCATTTGTTTTATTCTACCATTTCCTTGGCTTAAATAATATCTTAAAAGATTTCCTAAACTAAATAAAGTTTACAACTCTTAAAATCATAAAATTGTAAAAATAATAAAAATTTAACATGAAATGATGCATTAATTTGCTCGAATTTGATGGCAGTGTTTATAGTTTAGATATGCTGATATGCAGGAAGGTCGCCCAGGAAGGCGGTAGTCGGTGGGTGGGTGGGTGCGGCTTTGGGCTTGGGGGGGCGTGGCAGCTGAGTGGGGGTGACACGCATGCAAAACTTTGTGTAGGAAGCAAACCAGTTCAAGTGCCTGGAAAAGTAAAGTCGTCTGGTGACTTAAGTTGTTATAAAAATGCAAATTTTTTACAGCTTTTGCCATTTCCTAGAGCAACAACACGACACTGAATGAGCATGTGTGTTTCCCTGTGTGTGTGTGTGTGTGCAAGGATATCGTAGCTTGGGGATCAAGGAGGTAGAATAGATGGAGAGAGGCTTAGTCGGTTAGGGGTGAAGGATATATATATGAAACGATAACTACACGAAATGGTTGTAATGATTTTGTCATGAGTTTTGTTGCGGGGCATAAACTAGGCTGAGTATTCAACTCCGGGACGTGGGCTGTGGATGACCCCGACAGACCGGCAGGGCACACACAAGGATTCGCCCGTCCTCTATCAGGACGAACTTAAAAGGCAGCCCTGGCGAACATTCGTATGCATTCTCCAAGCCAGAAATAGGACAAAGTCTTGAGTGTTTACACAACAAATAAATACAAAAATTAAAAGGAAATAATTTTAAAATTAAATAATACACATAATACTACGTTTGTGGCTTAAAATTGGGTCCCTTAGGGTTCTAAAAGTATTATTCTATAATTTAATAGGACTATAGTCCTTTTCTACAATTTCTTAA